ACTTTTTATTTGTTTTCATACTGTTCATTCGGATAATTAGATTTCATACCTTCAATCGGTTTCATACTTGTGATCCGCTTTCATACTTTTCATTCCGGTCATCCGCTTTGATACCTTCCATCGCTTTCATCGCTTTCATACTTTTCATTCCGGTCATCCGCTTAGATACCTTCCATACCTTTCATCGCTTTCGTACTTATGATCCGCTTTCATAATTTTCATTCGGGTCAGCCGCTTGCATACTTTTCATTCCGGTGATCCGCTTTGATACCTTCCATACCTTTCATCGCTTTCATACTTGTGATCCGCTTTCATACTGTTCATTTGGCTCATCCGCTTTCATACCTTTCATCTCTTTCGTACTTATGATCCGCTTTCATAGTTTTCATTCGGGTCATCCGCTTTCATACTTTTCATCCGGCTCATCCGCTTTCATACTTTTCATCCGGCTCATCCGCATTGATATTTTCCATCGCTTTCATACTTGTGATCCGCATTCATACTGTTCATTTGGCTCATCCGTTTTCATACTTTCCATCGCTTTCATACTGTTCGTTTGGGTCATCCGCTTTCATACTTTCCATCGCTTTCATACTGTTCATTTGGGTCATCCGCTTTCATACTGTTCATTTGGGTCAGCCGCTTTCAAACTGTTCATTTGGGTCAGCCGCTTTCATACTTTCCATCGCTTATGAAAAGTATGAAAGCGATGAAAACGATGAAAAGTATGAAAGCGATGAAAGGAATGAAAACGATGAGAACGATGAAAAGTATGAAAGCGATGAAAACGATGAAAACGATGAAAACGATGAAATGTATGAAAGCGATGAAAACGACGAAAAGTATGAAAGCCATGAAAAGTAGAATAGTATGAAAAGCATGAAAACGAATACGTCTCAAGTGTGAGGATCAGTCGACTTTTAACTTATGCTTACACTATAATAATATATTCATGCAGTACATTTCAGCTTACACATTTTTTGTGTATTCTAACAGTTCTGAATAAATTAGTTGTTGTTGGTTTTCTGTAAACAAAGGTCTCATATTTATTGTTTTCTCTGATTATTAAAAGATCAAGAAAGGATTGACGTTCATTAGTTTCCCATTCAATTGTAAACTTTATATTATCATGCCATCGATTTATTCTTTGTAAGAAGTCTAAGACATTTTGCTTTTTATTGAAAATACATAGCACATCGTCTACATACCGTATCCATAATTTAGGCTTATTAGTCGAAAATTGTTCAAGTTTTGTTTCTAATTTTGAAACGAAAATGTGGGCTAAGATGTGAGCTATCGGCGAACCCATGGCTACTCCATCACATTGTGCCCAATTTTCATTTAGAAAACGAAGAGGAACATTCAGAGAAGAAATTTGTGGCAGACGTTTAAAATGTGATCGACTGAAAGGACAATTTGGTTGTTTATTCTGACTGTAGAGTAGATCGAGGGCTGTTTCCAAAGCTTTAATTACAGGGATATTCGTATATAAGCTCTCAATATCGAAACTGACAAGCACTTCTTGTTCACTAGTCCTTAAGCTAGTAATCTTTTTCATCAATTTGAAACTATCTTTGATAAAAGATTTTGGTTTTTGTCTTTCATTCGAGAGTATTTTGGCCAAGTATCGAGAGACATTATAATTGTAGGTTCCATTCGTAGGTATACATTTGTAGGTATACATCACTATTTCTCAGAAAATAAAACGAAAGAATTCGGTAAATAATAAATTACTACACCATCTCTAAGTTATATTAAACAAGAAAGAGATAAGACGACAACTTCTGTTATTCGTTTCGTATCAGTTTTCACGGTGAACAAAATTACATAGTTGTAGAACTGGAATAATTTTAAAAAATCTTCTTCAAAAGGATTCTGTTCAATTATGGAATAACAACCACAGCCGCAGCAGTATGGAAACACCGGTGGTGGAATACAGCAGAGGATCAGAAGTTTATTACCATTAATTATTAGAATCTTGGCCTATGTACAAGTAATCTTAAGTACTTTGATTTTCGGCATGAAAATCGGTATTACTGTATGTTATACTCTCTATGTAAGAGGAAGTTATTATGGATCAACAGTGGCACTTGTTGTTGGCCCATTGACAGCCGCCGGTATTTGGAAGAGTATTATAATGGATATAGCTATTAGTTTCTTGTTCAGACTACGTAAGAAATATGTGTGTGAGCGTTTTCTTTTCTCTCATGCTAACATCCTTACAGTGAAATAGCAACCGGAATATATTTTCGAACGTTCCCTCAGCGTCTTCTGAACAATTTTGTTGGTCGTTTTATCTTAAACAATGCATTTTGCATCTGTATTTATCGCAACACCGGCTCTGTAATAACTTTTCCTGTACGCTACTGTTTCTTTTTTTCAGGATAAAATCATATAGACCTTGCCGGATCAGCGTATAGTAAGATATCTAGCGTGCTAAAGCTGATAACATGACATTCACTTTCATGATATGATAAAAGTGGCGTCAAAATAAATATAAACAAAAAATAATTTTATTTAATTCATGTAGATTTTTTACAGAAACAATTTCTGAATTTATTATGAATGACTTTAATGATAAATCAAACGATAGTAATTGTTTAACAACAGTTTCAATGCTCATATAACCTGTTATTGTCAATTTTAATGACGATTTATGACATTTTTTTAGCTTTATTTAAAATGTAAGATGCGCGTAAAGCAAACCTTGAGTGAAATGTTTTTCAACTTTAAGATACATATTCTGATTTGTCGTTTGACAGTAATCACGAATATTACCTTCCCAGCCTCGAAAAACATTTCCTCTCCGAGAACACCTTAAAATACTGAGAAGGTGCCAAAAAGGTCAAAAATCTTGGTTTGTCGAAAAAACGTCGCCGTTTCGTCAGATTTTATCCTAGAGAGTCGAGTTTGGTTTCATTCGACTCCTCATTAAAAAATGAAATTGGGTAAGCCACTTTCAAGTCTCCAAACCCAAAACAAAACGTTTGGCCAGGTATTGAATTTTCAAGGTCAAAATTTGAGACCCCATGTCCACAAACCTATCTACATTCTCAGACTAAGAGCTATACCCTTCTTTTAAACGTCAAAAGATGCACCTTGAAATAAGCTTTAAAATGTCGTAGAGCTTTTTTTAAAATTTTGTTTTGTTGCCGAGAAAATTCATTTTTTCTAAATAAGGATTAGGATAGATAAACATATCAATCGAGTCAGTGTGTGATTCTGATTCCGAATATGATATTTTTATTGCTCAAAAGTTGAGTTCTGATCAAGAAGATTGGAAATTACGGTCAGAATCAAATCTCAGTATTTTAAGGTGTTCTCGGCGAGGAAATGTTTTCTGAGGCTTAGAAGGTGATATTCGTGATCACCGTCAAACGATAAATCAGGATATGTATCTCAAAGTCGAAAAAAATTTCACTCGACGTTAGCTTTACGTGCATCTTATGTGGATTTACTAAGTCCAGAAATTTTTGATGTAATAATGGAATAATTGTTTGCCATTTGTTTTGTTCTTTGAGTCACATCTTTTCCGTTCAACAAATTAGAATCTTGTATGATTTTAGAATATTGAAGAGATAAAATATTATTGCAAGATGGATTTGGAAATCTGTTGCTATTATACCGAATTGTAAATGATTTTTTGGCTAGCTTATGATTAATGTTTTTATTAATTGATAAAATTGATCCTGAACAACAAATGATAATTTTTCGAATTGAATTAATTGATGAACATTAGATGAATGAAAACAACGATGGATAAATGATCCTACTTTCATCCAATTCATCGTTTCTTCACAAAATAATAATTAATTTAATTGTGATATACGTTTTGTATCAGATAATAATCCTTCGGTTGATATATAGACCTGTGATGGTAAGACCTTCGATTGATGTTTCAATAATCATAAATTTATGCAATTATGTTTGAGATAAATATCAAGTAAAGGATGAGATTGAGATAAATATAAAAATCGATTTTCCATGATAACCATTTTTTCTTTAGTCGTGACACACCTCTTTGGTTGGATGTACAGAAAATGGGTATCCTAATGTAACTACTTTTGATGAAAATCTCATGCAGTCATTTGGCTTCAAGCTTGTTCAATTTATTCTTGACGGAGTAAAATGGTGGCTTTAACAAAATCATAGAAACTGTCGAATTATGTTTTGTTCAGTGCAATATGAAAAGATTGTGTTTGTTTTAACTTACGGATGAAACGACTGCATGATGATGTAAGGCGCCGGCAATTCAAAACTTAAGGAAAGTTTATTTTTGTAATATTTATACATGGTTGGATAGAGCTTGTTGAGCTGAACAAGAATATGTGTGTTGTAACGTTTCGAATCAAAATTCTAATATCGAAAATTTGAAAAAACGGCTTTTTTTTAAAAGCTTTAACTCAATGTGTGGAACCTTGGAAGTGTTTTATTCTTGTTCTCCGTAAAAGACTGAATCTGAAAAATAGTGTTTCGATACTATTCAAGTATAATATGACCTAAGCAATTTTAGTTTTTCATCAATAGTCAAAATTCCGTTCATGTTGGCGCAAAAAGCGTCAAGTCTCTCTGGAGATGAAGCCAATATTTTTATATCATTCTACTCGCCATATAGCACTAATAAAGTTACACATCGGTTTTAGAAAATACTGTTCCGTTGTTGAAAAAATTAATATTTTTGAAACCGGTAGCACAAAACAAGGAGATTCACTTGTATTTTGCTGTTTTCACCGTCAAACTTCCAGCCTTTTTTTACAAATATGCTTTTCTTTCGCAACTATAATTCATGCTACTCCAGTTCTGTTTAACTTGCATTTCTGAAGACGATCGAATTTGAATATTTGAATTTTCATGGCATCATTCCAAAGTTTTGATTCCCAACTATTTGGATTCGACAATTTCAATGGATGATAAAATTCTGTAGGTTCTAACCAGCTTTCATTTTTGGATAAGTTTTGGTGGTATGTTGGAAATGTACCTGTAGTAACAGCAATTCTGAACAAATTAGATGCTCTTCGGTAATGTCGCCAAATATATCCATCAGGATTTAGTAAGCACGGACGATATTTGTATCTGCTTGCATTGTAGGGATCGGGACTATAATATGATCGCTTCATGTTCGTATGATTATTCAACAAATTAACAGAAGAATTATAAATAGCTCTGTCGTTCTGATAAGGCCAGTGATTACATAATGAACTAGATAAATCAACGAGTGTCGTTATTATAACTTCACAAAATACTTCTGGATATAAGGACATAACTAAAGCAACCATTTTTACAAATGTCCGTAATTGATTGTCAGCAAAAGGAATATAAATTACATCTGAATAACTTGATGTTAAAACACTGTCGGGACCATACAATATCTTGAATATGTTTCGGTAGTCTTTTGGCAAATCTGTATTGAACAACTTACGAAAACGTTCCCATCCATTTCTGTAATGCCACCAAGGATTTCTCAATTCTCTTGCGCCTAGTTTTCCACTTGTAAGATTTACATAATGAATAGATGAAGTTATCCAAAATTCATCCAATGAATAACGTTCAGGATGAGCGAATACTTGAGTGAAATTAAAGAAAACATCATCAGACAGATATAATACACCGTGTAATGTTGAGAATATATCAGATTGTTTTAGTCTATCCCCAAACTGTGCACACAATGAAATACATTTATATTGATAAAAGCCACGCGATGCATTAGTACATTCAACATGATAAAGATTTGATTGCTTAAGATGTGACAATGTAATGTTAACTTGTTGTAATAGCAGATGTTTATTTGGCTGTTGTACAACTGATGTTTGTTTCGCATTAAACTGTTTTAATATGACTTGATTTTTCCGCGATAATTTGTCTAATGGTGACGGTGTTAGAATGATCAAATACTGATGTATCAGAGAATAATAAGTTAATATTGACTTTAAAGAGTGGCCGCTCGCATCGGGATCATAATTATAATTAATACAAATGGCAATTGCTTGTTGTCTTGAAATCAACGGTAGCGACGACGAGTTGCTAGCGTTTTTCTCTTGGGGATCTTTCAGTGAGGGATAAAGCTTGTAGAAATGTGCTTCATCTAGTTGCGCTGGTGTCAGTTGAGTTTGTCGTAATAAAAGCAACAGTTGAGTT